TGACAGTGAAATCTGGTTTATTGAGATCCAATGTTAATGTTATTTATGGATGCTTAAATTATTGCTCTCTAATGATAAGAAAATATGGCTGCTTGCCTACGCGAACAGTTGAGAGTTAATTTTATGTTTTCATGTCATGTAGGTATTATATCTCACAGCAGTTAACAGATAAAAGTGATGTCTACAGCTTCGGGGTCATTCTCCTTGAGCTCATATCTGGTCAAGAAGCAATTTCTAATGTGAACTTTGGAGTTAATTGCCGTAATATCGTCCAATGGGTAAGATTAGACAGAACGGGTTCTGAATTATGTTAGCGCACGTCTATAAATTTTATGTTATTTGTGGGTTGGCATTCCTAACTCTAGCTGCATGAGCAGCTGTTACCATCTTCCAGAGTTATTATCTGTTTGTTGACTTCTGCTTTATGTTACGTCGTCCTTATGTAATCTTAGATTAAAGGGAAATACAAACACGCAGCAAAATTTCTTTAGATTTAACCAGAAAATTGACTGTGATCTGTGGAATCATGAACGTCTACATTAAAATCTTAAAATATCTATTGAAGTGCAGATGATGTTAACATTTTGTTATGGCAGGCGAAGTTACACATCGAGAGCGGGGATATACAGGGAATCATCGACCCCAAATTACGGGAATATGACATCCAGTCTATGTGGAAAATAGCCGAGAAGGCAATGATGTGCGTTCAACCCCATGGTAGCATGAGGCCATCAATGTCTGAAGTTATAAAGGAGATTCAAGATGCCATTGCAATTGAAAGAGGAGCAGCCGCTAAACAAGGTAGCTCGGATGAGATCTCTAGGCATTCTGTTCATTCGTATGTGAATATGGGATCACTCGACCTCGGTGCCAGCGAGCATTATTTGGACGTTGACGAGTCTATCACGCAGCCAGCTGCTCGGTAAAACTTTTGTTTGGATCCTGCAGTTTTTTGTCCCTCTTATTTATTTGATTGATAGGGCTGAGAGATTTTGTGAATTTCATTGTGTTATGGTGGAAGATAGATCTTTTGGTGACATGGAAACTGTAAATTCTGAGCTTGTTGGTTGAGTACATATTTCTAGTTATTCAGAAATGATTCTCTAATTATTGGTCCTAATCTGAAGTTTTTTGTGAAGTCAAACGTGCTTATCTGCCCTTTGTGGGCTTTCCTTCCATTAGGCCCAACTTGATGCGCGTTTCTGAACTCCTTAACTAATTGGGCATGTACTTGGATAAATTGTAGTGGTAATTACAGAAAACCTTAAAATTAAAATTCAGGATTCAAAAATAAGATGAGTAATTTAACATTTCAGAAATCAGATTTTTTATATTTATATATTAAATATTAATTACATAAATTTCATTCTCTCACCTGTCTTCTCTCTCCAATTTCTTAGTCTAATCAATCTCTCTCCAATTTTTTCTCTTGCCCATCTTCTCTCTCTCTCGGACAACTTAAGAAAGCAATTTCGGCTTCGGCGATCGCTACTAATTTGGGTGACAAGGCTTATATTTTCATTTATCTTCATCGTGGTGGCCATTTCAATGTCAAATTTGGGCATCCATCGGGCTGCGGTACTGTGACGGCTCTACAGGCACATCGCTATGGTTGTTGGGATGTCGGTGATGGAGATGGCTGTGATGTGAGTTGTTGGTGATGTTGGCCGAGTTCTAGGTCTCGATCTAGCATTGGGTTGGAGTACATTAGGGATGAGTCGTGGGTGGTGTGATGTTGGTAGTGGGTCGGGGTGGTAGTGGTTGTCGCAAGTGTTGGTGGCGGTATGCGGTGGTCGACGGTGATGATGGTAATTGTGGATGGTGGTTTGTGTTTTGGATGGCATGGGTGAAGTGATTGGTGGTTTGTTTTTCATTGTTTTAGTGCTTGGTTTCTGTTAATGTGGTGGTGGTTCGCGTTGCAATATTGAGGGGTGGCCGATAGTGTTGTGCTTGCTGTGGTGGTTTGCCCCGCGACGATGTTGCTGTCGGTGGTGGTGGTGGTTCTGGTGGCAATGATGGCGGTGATAGTGTTGGAGGCAGTGGTTGTCATAAAGGTTGGGGTGGTTACATATTATTTGATTGATTGTGACCATTGAATTGATTAATCTGTGACCAATAAACAATATGCAACCGATGAAGATAAATTATGACCTATGTGACCTAAAAAAATTAATTTGTGATCGTCTAATAAGTTGTGACATTGTGATCTGTGATCGATACACAAATTGTGATGTATTAATTTTTGATTTATGATCGATGAACAAACTGTGATCTATAAAATTT